TGTTCAACTGTGATCATGCGATTTGTTCTCCTCAAATTAAAAATATACCCTTAATCTAGTGGTCTGTTTTTGCTGTTTTTGCAGTTTCTTAATCTCCTCCGAGTTTGATTAGACAATATGCGAACACATTACACGGACAAGACAGGAAATCGACAGAAAGCTGACTACACATGGTGAAAATATAAGAAAATGAAAGATACAAGAGACCGTCCATATCCTGACTGAAAAATATCCAACGAACAGAGGGCTTGCAGAAGGCGAAATAAATGATAAATTTGCATATTGCCTAAGAAACTCGGAGGAGGTCATAAAACAGCAAAATCAGCTAAAAGAAGACTAAATAGAAGAAATATTTTCAGTTTGACGAAAAGAACTAGCAAAGAGACTGCAAAGGAACAATCAGAAACCTATGGGCTTAATCAGAGTAAGTAAAACATCTAGATCATTTAGAATTTGGCATACATGAAACTAGCGTATAAAAGTCATAGACTAGGCATTATGGATAGAATGGGCGAGAGACGCGGCTGAGATCATTGAAAGCTGGCTATTAGTAGATGAGTTTGACTATAGTAAAGGCTTTACCACGATAAATACCCGGTGAGCATGGCAAACAGTGATAAGGGTATCTATAGTGTTAAGTTAGGTCTCCATGTCACTTAAGAACCCAGGATTTAGGGGATTGGTGCAGAGTGTAGAACATCACTCTTCAAGTAGCGTAGATATAGCGATAACGATCGAGTGAAATCACTAAACCAGGGGAATAAGATGGATCCCACGGAGGAAGAGAGTGACTCTGGTGGGACCTTAAGGAAGAGGATTATGGAATAAATGGCAATCTTGTATTAATGTTAAGACCAGGGTTTGAGAAGAGAAACAATTGTAAGTGCAAATAGGTCTCACCAAATCCACTCTAAAAAGGCACAACTAAGTTTACATAATTGTGATAGCGAAGAGGTGTTACGAAGATATAGGATAGGTGAATAGAGCAGAAGAATAAGAGATACCATAAATACTTAGCAGGCAATTGTTAAAAGGATAGACTTCACTAGTCTCTGACAAATTGTGGTGTGGTGCCAAAAATGGCAAGGCGGACGGACGATATCGACTATGACGCCGGCGAAACGTCTGGGAATATACCAAGTCCACGGACCGACCCTAGAAATTATAATGCATACTATGGACTGTGTATAAGCCGCGTTCTTCTAAGTCTTCCTGTAAATATGACCAAATTGCGATTTATTATATCATTTGGTAGGACTAATTAATTTGATAAAATTAGTATTACTATATTTTTGTAATTATTAAACTAGGCAAGTAACTCTCAAATAATTCAAGATATAAACATCATTTATTGAGGAGGTTGCAATCAATGCATAAGCTACAATATCTTGCGCTTCATATCTACGATAATTTATTTAGTTAAACGATTTATATTGCGCCATACCTAAGTTTACCCTGGAAAAGTAGCAAATTATATTTTAATAGATTCCTAACATATTGTAAGTATATAGGCAGAATGAGTAGGATAATGATTAATAAACAGTGATGGAGGATATAAATTACCTGAAGGAATTCTGCTTTTTCGGTAAGAGCTGCAGCATACTCTCCACAGAGGCCGAAGGCTGTTGCTGTCCAGACAATTGGCGCTGTTGGGACCAGGCATACTGGCTTGGCTCCCCAATTAACAGAGTGTTGCTTCTCATTTGCCTACCAGCTTCGGAGACCCGTTCACCTTGGGTACCATCGCTGCCACTGCCGCCGTTTCCAGTTATAACAAGATAAGGCGGAGCTGGATTGAAACCAAGCCGAAGTGTGGCTGGGTATCGCAAGCTTTTGAGGAGACTTCGCAACTCTTCCCGAAGCTCATGGCCAACCTCATCCGGATCAAATGCTAGTTTTAGCATTTGCAATGTATAAGCCCGAAGGCGGAGCACATCGAGCATTTCATCATGACGAACAAGGCCTCCGGGAGACAGGCCACTACTTGAGTTGGACGCACCACGGTTTCGTCGACTGATCCCACCACCCCTTCCGCCAACGACAACACCAATGCCAGGCCCCCTCGGGGCCCCATTTCCACCACCGGTACTACCAACGCCGCTACTGACTCCGCCGCCTCTACTAACGGTCTTGGCACGATGCCAGGGCCCGCTCGGAACTACAGGCATGGTGCCTGCCGGCAGAAAGGTCGTGACCCGTTGAATACCCAGTCTCTTTGCTGAATGAAGAGCAGACACCGGAAAGCTTCGAATGATCATCTTGTTGGATTCTAGGTCAGAAAAGAGGCAAGTGATAAAAATAGTAGTTTATGCTAAAAAGGTGTGTATTCGGAGGTTTACGCAGTGCAAATTGAATGAGAGCACATTTTGTTATGCATAGTTTAGTGAATTAATATATAAAAAAAGTTTTTTCTATGTGAGATTTATCCTTTCACGATTTGATGAGTTTTTGGTAAATTACGTCTTTTCGCCTTAACAGTGTCTGCCACATGAATTAAATGACAGTAAGCAGATGACGTTTTTGCACAATCCAACGTCCCCATTTAAAGGAAACCAATTCAACCAACTTTTCCTGTTAAATGATACAATGAATCACATTCAATTATTAAGGGATTCTTCGAAAACTATCATTTCTTATACATGACCAGTTATTTACGTTTGCTAGATGCAGACTCATTATAATAAAATTAATAACTCCTAATTTAACCACATACGTATGATTAGAAAAGAGGTTGATAAGGAAACCTGTGTGTGTAGGTTTGCTATGTATGCCTATACCAAAATCTTCAACTTCATTGCTTACTAGGATTAGGTGTGTTCCTCTAGGTCTTCCTACCAATATGACAAAGTTGTAAAAACAAGACCAAACAACTTCTATACAATGAAAGGAGACTGCGACCACACTTAAGGCCACACCATTTTGGTCTTCTTACCTAGCTTTCATATTAGTCAGGTTGAATTGGACTTTTTTAATCACTCCGATTTAGGACTGTAGACGATAACACACATACATACATGATGAAATAAAAATAAGAAAGATAATTGGCCTAAGCATTCTACATCTATAAATGCCAGCAGATTTTCGTTTATTAGTAAGTATAAGGGTATAGAAGTATATGAGATAGCCAGATAGCCTTCTTGACCTAGTGCTAGCGTGAAACTTTTACGTGAATAAGTTAAAATTATGATGATGCCCATCGCATGATGGACAAATGCTCAGCCCATTTTCACTCGAAATAAGTGGGATGCCTCATGGACTGCGTAAACCTGAACGTCATGTTAAAGCCAAAAGGTTGCAGTAAGACGGGAATCAGTCATATTCCGATTAGATGGACGTTCGAATCTCTTCCTAATGCACTTTCATAGAAAATGAAAGTCAACCCAATAATTTTATACCAGGAGATTAATCTAAACCCAAAAACTCTGCGTAGCAAAATAGCAGTCCATGTATCTAAGTAGTATGTTTGAGATTACGAGTGCCTTTAAAGAGCCATGCAAATATTATATAAAATAGGAGCTAAAGAAAATGCCCCAGCTAGGCCTGGCGCTTACTAATACACCTAACCATTGAAAGAAAGCAATGAAATATTCATGACTAAATTTATCAATCTTTTGATGGAAGCTCTGCCCTTTATCAGTTATGATATCAGGATTTTGACCTAGCTTTGCTACGGTAGGTAATGGGAATATTCGTGTACATATAAATCAGATTAAAAGTTGCAAGCAAATCGCCACTTTCTATCGGCCTCTCACCTAATAAATTAACAATAGTAAGAATTCCTTACAGTTTTCTGATATTTGCTTTGGCCTAGTACAAATAAATCATAATGTGGTATGCATCAAGCCACTGTAATTATTTATTTTAATACTAAGGAGGGTAATTTCTTTATCTATTTTAAACAGACCATAAGCGATTGGTAGTGTAACACATTACTTAGGAAACGTATTCATTTCCCATTATCCGCTATTTGCGCATTTTTGAAAGAAACACGCAACCCTTTCTCTTAGGGTTTCTATTGGGTTATTATTAGTAGTCTAATATGGCTCACCGAAAACTTATGTCTGCAACATTAACTTCCAAATAGTCTATTCTAACCAATAATGCAAATTCCCGCTCCTCAAATGTACGTTATACTAATTGACCGTTAGTAAATGATACTACTACACGGATACTAATCGAATGAAAGACCTATGACTAAATGTCTCTCTTATTATTGTCTAAGAACACATTTTAAACTTATCAGTACTATCAATGGTTCCTCCCTGAAATCTCTACTACTTGAAAAGGCAAAGTTCGAGCCCTTTGGTAGAATCTATTCAGTTGAAGCGTTTAAATAGGTCTGAGCAGGCCAAACAAATTCTATAATAGTGGGGATAACCAAGAACAGTCTTAAATTTTAGGAGGCGAA